TCAACACTTTTGTCAACATTTCATCAAACATAAATCTGGTGTTTCATATACTTATTGTAGTTTAATTTCCCATAATCACTCTAAAGCTGACAAGGCAAATCTCCAAGATGTGCAGACTCTGACTAGGGAAAAGAATGGCTACAACCAGATTATAATTTTTTCTATTTCTTTATGAAAAAATGATTCTGACCAAAAGTCTGTATTACAGTAAAAGGAACCATGAAATATTGATCATATAAAGAAGGCGCTGGCGGAAGAAACACCGGGAGCTGTGTCAGGGATGATCTCCCCCTCCATTAAGAATTCTATTGGGTAGGGACCTGCCCAAATCATCAAGATCATATTATTCAAGCATCACAGAGAGAAATTCAATCACCCAGCCATTCAGTAAAAATGAAAAATCATTAGACTTTGTATTGCAGAGCATAACTGCATCAATTTGGACAAGTGGATTGCCAAATCCAATAACTTCTAAAGCAGGTCATGATGAAGATTAGCTAACTACTAAAGACTAATTTCTCTTATACGCATATGATGATGGATGCCCAAATAGAGTAAATGGGATGTCAGAATGATGGAAAATAGAACAAATGGCCATTCCGGAGAGTACTTGCCAACTCAGTTCACAGCCACATGGATTGCCATGAATTTGGAATGCAGATAGGGAGCAACCATAGGCAGGCAAACTACATGGGCAGAAGAGGTCAAAATCATGATGCAAGAAGAAAGTCATAAAAAAATAACTTTCAAACGAGAGAGCTAATAAGTTGAAGGTTTATCCTTTTGTTTAATACAGTTTAAACATACTACCATACCAATTAAGTTTACAGTTATGTGACGTCAACAACAGTCCACCACTTTGCTGTTGCCAAGTTCTTATTCCCCTTTTCTTATTCTTTCAGGACAAGGACACTCAACACGGTGAGTTAGCTAAGGGTGGTAAGGGGTGGATGGGATGTGTGTGGAGGTCGAGTTCCAGACACCTTTCCAATATCCCAACCGCTGGGGCACCCCAAAAAAAAAAGAGAAGAAGAAAGAAGACGGCAAAAAAAAAAAAGAAAAATGCTTAGATTTTAACCAACAAGATTTCAAACTTTAAGGCAAGAGGAGACCCGAAAGATCCGAAGTCGTATCTCACAAATAGCTGAGGTTTCCCAGAGGGAGGCCTTCTGACAGTCCACCAAAGTTATGCAGAAAATATGTAAGGGTCCTGTCCAATCTAGACATGTTCACCCAAGCAGCTATTAACATCACGTTGACATTTTGTTCAAACGAAACAGTTTCTAAGTTCAAAAACAAAATCTATCTGTTCGTAACCAAAGTAGACTTAGGGAGAGGTCAAAAAAAACACCATCAAGCAAGGATAATTATGAGCTGGGCTTTGGAAAATTTGATGTGCTTGGATAACATTGACCCAACTTCATTCAATGAGATTGATAATAAGCAATTAAATGGTGAAGAAGATTATCTTACATCTAAAGGTAACATTTGGCTTGGGATGATATAGCTTTAGCTTCTTAAGCTGAGGAGCCATCTCATCATTTATTGTCATTCACATGTAGTACAACTCAAAAGAGGGCAATGGCAGCCTTCCAACATGTTTCTGCAGATGCCGGTGAAAATTCAAGAGCTCGTAAAGAAAATGGTATTAAGCCCTTCAGCGCACACTAACCACCAAAAACTGCATTGCTCATCCGGCCAATTGGCGGTGAACAATCAAAACGGCCCTTCTATGTTTGCTTTACATCCAAGAGTTGAAATACAACTCAGCATAAATTATAGGGCAGAGGCATCATCAGCTAAGATAAGGCAACTTGTCGGGTCATCTGCACTGATGGATACCCAGACAGAAGCCTCAGATATCTTTTACCTATGTCTGCATGTAATATTACTTTTTCAATGTACCCACTTATAGGTTTCTACATTTGTGTGCATTACACTTAATCAGGGTTTTATATATTAGGTTATTGCCCCATGCTTAATAAAAAAGATTACATCTTTCTCAGGCCGCGAGATCAACACAAACTAAAACGCCTACCAATCTGTCCTCTTAAAACAACAGAGAGCACAATGCTAAGGCAACAGCAAAGAAAAACAGTGGCGATGAGCAGAAACCGTTATATAACCTGAATCGCAGATGTCAAAACAGATTGTGCATAATTACACTGTCTACAGACTGTGCAGTAATTACGCAACTCAATCACAATTAGAATATAAAAGAACCAGATACTGTAAGTTTATACGGAGCTGATTCACACTGCAGTCAGAAACTAGCAAGCATGAGATAATCACACACGATCCATTCACAACTCGCCAGATTGAGTTAACAAGTCATCAGACTTACTTCTTATGCCGTTTCCCCTTTCTCGGTCCCCATCCCTCGAGCTTGGCAACAGGACACCCGCACTTTGTTCGAAACAACAAGACGGCACGCCCACCAGGGGAGCCATATTCCTGAGTTCGGAACTCAGACACTCGTAATCGGGATTGTTCTCACTCCCACCCTTCCAAGGCAGTTTATCAATCTCATCAGACCCAGTCTTGAGAGACTCTTCCGTTTGCAACTGCAAATCAAATTCCATTGCTTTCTTGAGTCCTTTGCATCGGGGCTTGCCACACTTACGGGATCGAGTACCACAGCAGAAAAGAACTAATAAAATCGAAATGACAAAGAAGATGATGAACCCTAGAATCTGAGGGGTCGGGAATTGGTAGAGCTGTGGTGTGAAATGAGAGAGGAGGGAAAGGGAGTTGAAGATATAAGAGAAATAAGAAGAAAGAAGGAAAGCACCGGAGAAGAGGACAAGAATGAGAATGAGGAGGTCAAGAGTGGCGGAAGAAGAGTGCTTGCAGGAAAGGGAATGAGAATTGCAGTTTGAAATGTGGGCATGGTTTGAGGATTTAGGCTTGGAATTGGAAGAAAAGGGCATGGCAGCGTCGGTGTTGGGGTGGAGATCACGGTCCCGGTGGTGGCAAACAGAAGGGGGTGCATGTTAGAGAATCAAAATGTGATTTTTCTCCCGAGAAAAATAAAATGTGCTGATGCCTTTGTTATTTAACAGAAGTCTGGCATTAGAAGGAACCAAGGGGTGTAGAAAGCTGAGAGATTGAGCAGGGTTTTCTTCTTGGGGAGCCACCACTATCATAACCAAATGCTTCACATGCACCACTCACTCTCTTTTGCTGCCAATTTTTTTTTTTTTTCCATCCTTTCTTGTCGCCGCCACCTCATATCGATGTTAGCTGAATAAGTAATTACTAGTAGTATTTTTTTTAATATAATAATTAGATAACTAATTTAAAAATATTAATAAAATTAATTAATTTTATTATTTATAATAAATGAGTATTGTTTTTTCATCAAACACATTAAAATGAAAACCATTTAATATGTGTAATCAATAATCATCATGGGAATTATTTTAAAAATAAATAAATATAATATAGATAAAGTGAATTAAATTTTATAATTAAGATCAAATTGAATTTTCAATTAGCTCTTAGCGGATGTAGTTTTTTATTATAATAATTATGACTATAATTAAATACGAATTAATGCAGTGGTAAATGTAATTTGGAATTGGAATGCAGCTATAATTAATGAAACGAGCATAGTTCGGATGAAACACATGCATTAGTTACTAATGTTAAAACAGGGAACTTCCGGTAAAAAAAAACAGGGAACTCAGATGTGTTATCGGGATATATTTGAATTGAATGAAAGGCATCACCTCCTCAAATACAGACAAAAAAGTTGAAGAATTTACGCGAATATAGGGATATATATATATATATATATGTATGAATGAAGCATCACTATATTAGGAGAAAAGATAGCATTAAATGACGTACCAGTATATTAGTGTTTGGGAAGTGGGTAGTGGCTAGGGAGAGGCAAATGGTATTAGGGTTTTGCCGGGATATCACAGTGATGTGATGATGAGCTGTTAGCAATCAATTTCAACGCTGCGAATAAAATTGACCTGAAACAGCTTTGGCGTCCACGAGTCCCACTCCCGCCTCATCCCCGAAACCCGAAAATGTGGATTTGGAGAAATGTACGAAAGGGTAAGGACGACATGAGAGTGTCGGTGAGAAGAATAGCGGAATCTTGAAGAAAACGCTCTACAAAACTCCAACTTTCGGACGTTTCGCGTCTTGCTGCAGAAATGGCGCTGAGAAGTGAACAACAAATATAAATCAATGATCCTCGCAAACAAACAATACAAGTTCATGCCACTACGTTTACTATTTTGAGTTCAATCATGTGTAATTATATATAAATAGTAACGCATTTCATTCAAACGTGAACATCAAGTTATGGAATTTTTTTTAGCAGAATTTTCTTTAACTTTTATACAATTTTTCAACGTACAATATTCCATTTTTATTAATTTTATTATCGCCGGTTCCACAACCTTGAATCAATGCATTGATTGATTTAATCATCGCTCTGGTTTTTAAAAACATTGGATAAGACAACATCAAAGAAGGATAATATATATATATATATCTCTTTAAACACACTAATAGAGAGAAGATTCAAGATTGAACTTGTCATCTTGGGCTTCATCCTTCTAGTCCTAATATCTAGTTTCCCAGCAACAACCAACATTCTATATGCAGACACGGAAGGTCATCATCACTCACTCATCACAATACCACACGCACCTAACATATCCATAGTATCCTAACCTGCTTATTGTAGAGCTCTGAAAGTGATAATTACAGCTACAAGGAGAACCAGATTACATATCTTGATTTACACAGTGCAGACTTTAAGAAAACTGACGGTCAGGAAGGACCACAGGAGCTACAATAGTCCACACATATAATGCAGCAGTGGCCCACTCAGTGCAAATCCGAACCCAAACGGACGTCCACCCAACATCAACCAATCCTGAGCTGTCAGATGAGCTTGTCCATCCAGAAAGAAGCATAGCTGAGTACATGCTGGCCAGGGCAAATATCAGGTGGAAGAACGAATAGGAATAACTGACTGGCTCTGCATCTTTTTCCTCTTTCTTTCCCTTTCCTTCTTCCATTTCTTCTGCTTCAAGTAAGGGCTTCTTCCCACCTGAAGACCGTATAATTGCTAGTCATGAGAGGAAACGGCAGTGACACAAGACAAGCAAGAATGTCCGCTCTCAACCTCGACTAAGGCTAAACTTATACCTAGATATTTAATTGAAGTTTAGCTGTAATACAGGCCATAGGGTTCTTTGTTGAACAGTCATATATTATATTTAGATTTTAGATGCATTTTGCAACATAAATAAATATATAATAGAAATCCCCTGGGATTTCAATCGTATTGCTGTTACCTGATTTAGGTGAAGATGGTGGTGACAAGAATGATGTTGAAGATCCAGCACGCAAAGCAGAATATAGCACTGACAACACTGTAGTAAGCAATCCAAGAACAAGGGTACTAACGGTGACGGCTTTGGAATTGCCAAGACCATTGCATGCGTAGTCGTGAGGTTCACTAGAAAGGCCCGTGTAGCACACATAAGCACAGTAAAGGGAAATCACAGATGCCGGCAACAAGCTTCCATTCACCTGTTAGGAAAAACAAAAGAAGTATTCCTGAGGTAACATGGAAGTACTGAATCTTCCTTCTAAGCCTCTCAATTACAGTTCCCATTACGGCATACAAGATTCAGGACAAAAAGGGCATTCTCCAAGTTCAAGCTCATTAATTCTTGTGTCAATTTTTCTTCAACGAAAAAGATGAAATCTCAGAATATGACGTAACAAGATATGACTAAGTAAGAAACTCCAGCTCATGCACAGCCCTGCAAAACTTCATAAACAGAAGAGACTCCAACATTCATATCGATTTTATTCATAGAACCCTCTGAATGCAATTGTTCACAGTTCAAGCAAGATATTTAGCACTGCCAATTGTATACACAAGACAAAAAGGAGATGATAAGACTCGGTGAATTAGATGATCAACAACAGTTAAAGCAGACAATTTGATTTTAGGACTATATTAAGCATACAGAAGTGAATATATTACTGAAACTAGCACCTTTAATTACTCTTTCAGATGTCTCCATCACCTCACAATCCACATTCCAGAGAAGCATGGAATACATTTGAGATTCAATAAATAAAAGCATTGATATGCTTTACCTGAGGATGTAGAGAAATAATTCCAATTGCGAGTGCAATAATCATGGTCATGACAAGGAAGAAGATATTTAGGCCACAGTCATGTCCAGAAGGGTCGAACCAAATAAAAAGAATTCCTGACAAGGTAAAAGCTGCTAGGTAGCATCCAATTGATATAACAAGCAAAGCAACATACCTAAATATGCAAATTTATCAGGATCTCAATTACAAACAGAAACTCATAGTGAAAATCCAAATCATATAAAAATATCCAGCATACCACTTCTGTTCATCTTTCTCGACCCATGCATCATTCCAAGAATGGACAAAGTCAAGTAAAATTACAACTTGAACCAACAAAAACAACCCTGCTCCAAATTTTGATATCCATCCTGCACATCTCATAAATAAGGCAATGTCGATTATCGAATCAGGCTTCAGCTTCCACAGGATGCCAAAAAAGAGAAAAGGGGAGGGGGGACAAAGAACAATTTTCATTCAGAAACTGGACCTACCTTGCATCATTTATCTATTTAATTATTAGATCCAAGGGATTTTCTACTCCAAGGTCCACAATTTAAGGGCCGATACAAATGCAAAAATATACAACTGAACCAAGTAGCTATAAATTTTACTTTACCATAGCCTTTGATAAGGTTGATTTTTTCTTTCCATGAGGGACCAATGAAGAACAATTGCGGAAACACAATATTCCCTCCAATCATTAGAGAAAATATGGTACCCAAATATCTGTGGCTATGGTTCAATTTTACGCTGTACTGACGGATACACAGGCCTTTTGAAAATGTTGAAATTCCCTCCCTTTTTTTTGGGGGGGGGGGGGGGGATGAAGAATCTCAACCTATAGACCAATATGAACCTATCGTTTTCTGTCAAAGATTAAGTAATATGGAAACCACAAAAGCAATGAGTAGGTAGGATTATTTTCAGAATATTAATGAAGAATCCACCATAGCTTTTAACATGCACCTGATATGTTTATGTTGCTCTATTATCTGATATACTACCTTCAGACGAGATTTAGTTCTCTGCTGTATATATAATGTAAAAATATTCAAAAACAATAAAAGAGTAAGATGAAGAGCAAAGAACCGACCATAGACTACGAATACGACATCTGGAAGGAAGAACATAAGGACCACAAGCAAAACCCAGATCACTATCTTTGCAATCCATCCACCATGGTGCCATGAATCACGTCTATCATTCCGGTCCTTCACACCAATCATTATTAGGGCAAGAATAGAGAAAAACAAGAAATTTCCCAAGCTCACACGAAGAACTGCTTGAACTTGAAGAAATTCCTCTGACCGGGTACCGGAGGTGTTTATCCCTATTAGAGAGAATTCAGATAATTTAATTAAAAAAAAAACAGAATATCATATTATATATTCAGCAGTAGCTACAATAAAATTGTTTGATACAGAAGCATTCCCTTAACTAGTCGTGAATCCGGAAAGCCGTTCATGTAGTAGAATTAAGATCATCCAGTGAAGAAATAACAGTTTGCACTGCACCCTCATCAAACTCCACCAATTATGCAGCAATTTAACACCAACAAGCCAAGCATATTATTCTTCCCCAAACCCGAACGGGAAAACATTCTAAAAGTCAAAAGGTAGGGGGGGTGAACTTACATGAAATGTTCCCCAGAAGGGGTTTTGCTACTTCTCTGAGAATCCAAGAAACGATGAGAGAAGCGCCAAAAAGACCACAATAAGCAATTCTAGCCGACCTTTGTGTGATTCCAGATGCCACAGAAGTGCAGAGACCGCATGTTAAACTTGCGCAGCAACTCGCGCAGCAAGATAACAAACACGACATGGCTTAGTATCTCCCTTCCAGAATTGAAGCTTCAGAGAACTATAATCCGTCGAAGGGGTTCGTGGTGGAAGGATTGTTAGACTGGAAAGTTAGCTGCATCATTTCCAATCATACCCAAAAAGATAAATTTATTTATTTTTTTTTAGCTTTTTCTTTTATAAGAACTAATTAACTAATTTGAGAAAATTAAAAAAAACTAAATCAGTTATTTGTAATAAATAGATATTTTTTTTTAAAATATTCTTACTAATCAAGTATATTATCTAGAACTATTATTGTTAGAAAGACTATTTTGGAAAAAAAATGCATAAACATGAGAGACAAAATAGATTGGGTCTTATATTTAGAACCAAATAAAAATCAAACAATGTCTTATATTAAGGATCAGAGCTAGTTTTATTTAGTTTAACTATTTATTTAGTCTTTAGAATTAAAAAAAAAGTATTTGGCTTTTTATCAGCAAATTTTAAGGGATAACTATGTTTTGATCTTTTGTCCCCAAAAAAAAAATATACTAGTTTCGATTCTAATTATGAGAACTAGTTAATTAATTTGAAGGAATTAAGAAAATAAATTAAGTTAGTTATTTATAATAAATAGGTATTGTCTTTCCTAAAATATCCTTGCTAATTAAGTTTATTGACTAAAACTACTATTATTAGAAGGACTATCTTGAGAAAAAATACATAAATATGAGAAAACAAAGTGGATTGAAGTCTTATAATTAAGATCAAAATAACAATCAAACGAGATCTTATATTAAAGACCGGAGGTAGTATATATTTACGCTCCATAATCCACTTCCTTTTTCTGCATTAACGGGATTCAGGATTCTTCATTTCTTCTGCATCAATTCCATTTCCTATCAACAATTGTGCCCTGGGACAATCAGACGCTTCAATTATTCATTTTATTTCATGTCATTGAACTTAGTTCCTGTACTGTTCATCACATCATTCTTCATTTCTTGAGTCCATCTTATAACGCCATAGATTCTTTTAAAAGCAACTCGATGCCTGTTATTTGAGCCAAAAACCACGAATGCTGCTGGCTTCTCCATTAGGAGGTGGATATTTCAACTTTTTCCCTTCTACATAATTGTATATGTTACTACTTCCGATTTTAAATATAAGACTTAATTAACTAATTTGAGTAAATTAAGAAAAGAAATTAAGTTAGTTATTTGTAATAAATATGTGTTGTCTTTCTTAAAATATCCTTACTAATCAAATGTATTGGCCAGAATCACCATTATTAGAAAAACTGTCTTGGAAAAAAAAATATATAAATATGAGAGATAAAGTGGATTGGGGTTTTATACTTAGAAATAAAATAAAAATCAAATAAGATCTTATATTAAGAATCGAAGGTAGTATATCAAACATTATTCTTTATTCTTTATTTCTCATTCTTTTTCCTTTTCATTCTCTTGTAAAATCTGTCTGTTGTGCGAACCCTAAACTTGATGGGTCAATTGAGTAAATGAAGGCATTTCTTCCATTGATAAAAGAGCCATTACTTCTTACCAAAGTTTAAAAAAAAAAAAAAAAAAGCAGCATTACTTTTCCGTGCATCAGTGATTTCAACCAAAGAATCACAATTTCCAGGTCCCACTGCGCGACTATACTTCCGTTACAATTTTTTTTTTGGGACACATACTTCCCTTACAATTAAATTTGCGGAGTTAAGCCTACTTTTGTGATAAAATAAACTACTCTTTCCATTTGACAAGGTAGGCATAAAATCTTGGGAGTAATTAAAACTAGGAAGAATTACAGTGATGTTTCAAAACAAAGAGAACAATTAAAAAAATAAGTTTTAAAAGTTGTCATTAGGACTTATCATTGAGGTTATTATTGAAATTTTTTTGTAATTATTTTTTTTCTGTGAAACTTGATTGTAATTTCCTCTTGAAACTAATTTCAGTACTCATATGCTCATCATTATGATGAGAGAGAGATATATATATATATCATTCAAATACAATTTCAAATTTCAACCATTAATTTTTAACATATGCACAAATCTAAATTCATTTCTCTCTCCTGTATTGCTTAATATTATTTAAAATAGAATAATTAAAAAATGTAAACATTATATTTTAACTTTGTAGCAAGTACAATCTTTTTTTCTACACACAAGTTCAAATCCCGTGGAAAGAGATGCCACGTTTAGTGTCCGTTTACTATAAATTAGCATGACAAAGCCCAACTAACTTCAAAACGGAGCCTAACTTCATCTTAAACCAAAGAGGTCTACAATTATACCAAATCAATTGATTTCGTTTGGTTTAGCTTTTTGCTCAAAATCGAACCAAACCAAATCTTTGAACAATTATTCCCAAGTAAAATTAATAACGTATTATTACAGGAAGATCAAACAAAAATATTAACATCACATTGCATAGTGCTGATACATAATGCAGATCCCTTTATTCGAGAGGAGGGATCAACCCCTATTCGCATGGGGCTCTCCAGAATTTATCTGAGATCTTGCAGAATTCAGGGTATCTTCAGCAGATTTCTTTGGGGTTGGCCCCTGCTTTGTTTGACCTCCCTGGATGAGACAATAATTATTCAAGGTCGAATTTATACGGAGGCAACATAAGTTAAAGAAATAGTTCTCAGACAACATGAGTATGCAGCTCTCTGACTGCAGACTCGTTAAGACAAGTTTGACTTGTGCTTGTAAGATTTGCCGGAACCTAAATCATGACAAAGAAGGGAAGTTTCCTTCTTCAGAGTCACCATATCTTGATTGTTAAGTGCATTTTTTATGTGTCAAACTATGAATAGTGTTAAAACTCAGTTTTATTGATGATGGCACACTATGAATAGTGTTAAAACTTGATTTTATTGATGATGCCATGGTGCACTTGTACTGATACACCAAGCAGATAGAAAACTTCTGACCCATCGGGTTAGGATTTGGAAAAGCAGAAGTATACTGTGCAGAAATTTCAGTTTTACTCAAGTTAGCTTCTGCTATTTCAAGAGTTTGCTGAACTTCTTGTGGATTAGTATTACCACCCTTCTCTGCATCATTTACTAAAACAGTGATCTCATGAAAATGCTTCACCTAAAATCCTAAACCCGCCAAAACATCCTCTTTCTCAGCCCAAAAAAGAAAGAAAAATATATAGGATTTAGCTACTACGGAAGAAAAGACAAGCAAGTTGGCATGCTAGAAAAGAAATCTCTTACTGCTGCCTTCTGGCTAGTCAACCTCCGCACTGATGGAGCGCGTGCCACTGAGGAAGCAGCAGCAGCTGCAGCCACACGTATTCTGCAAAATGATAATCGTAGAACATCCAAATTGAGATTTGTAACACTTTGATTTATTTATGAAACTTCATCATTTAAATTTTTCTTTGAATCCGTTACCTCTTGTGGACATCAACATATTCGTCTGTCTCATCTACAATCTCCTCCTGCATTATTGATGAAATATAATAAGTCTTGAAGATAAAAACATGAGCCCCAGCACTGAATGAAAGAAAAGTGTTGAGGACTGTAATTTTACTTGCAGAAGTTCTTCAAATACATCTTCTAGAGTGATGATACCAATCACTTCACCATCTTCAATATCCTCCAGACCACTTGTTGGAGCATCACCACGTTGCAAAGCAGTTTGCTTATTGAAGTTGGCAGGCCTTGAAGGCTTGTCAATATCAACAGCAACACTTCCTGAATTCTCATCCTGCTTCTGTAACAATGGAGTAGTCAACTGCATATTCTCACCATTAATCTTGGACTCTTTATGTTTCTCTTGATCAATTGTTGGTGGAATAATCTTGCCTTTTCCCTTGGCCTTGACAACAGCAGCCATATGACTGCTGCCTTTTTGGAACTCATTTAGTATATCATAAAGAGGCATATCTGATGGAACCCTGTAGAAATATGCCATCACCCAACCTCAATATTTTTCATAATAATTTTTGAAAGTGAATGACAAGCGAATGTATTAATAAAGACAAGAACACCTTGGAATTCTCCGGATAGAAACAGCACTGACAGGGGTCTCCGTTTCTGGACGCACTGTGAGTAGACTCTTGACCTATTTAGAAATGTAAGAAGGTGAGCAAGAGAAATTCCAAAACAAATAAAAAACATACAAAGTCAAAATCCTCCAGAGGCACCCACTAGAAGAAGCCCGATAATATTCTTAGGATTTCCAGAATAGACAGGAACTCGGCTATGACCACGAGCAAGAATTTTTCCCATCGCTTCCCTGATTTGAGAAATAGCACCATTCATTTAAGGAACCAAAGCAAAAGAACATGAGCATACAGGAAAACTGAAGTCAAGCCAGGGAAAAATAGCTTAGACGGCATTTGATCCAGTGAATAATGTTTCATCAGAAGTCAAAATAATACAAAGATTGACTTCGTCTTCTTAAAGAAAGAAGCCATTGTCGAAATAGATTTTGCTTACATTTCTGAACCCACTATAGATTACAAACCACTGTTTATAATAGTATAAACATTCGGGCAGCACGTAATGATTCAGTTTTTTGCTAATTGGTTTATACTGGCCACTGGTCATTAACTCATTATTTATGTGAATCAACCCCAAAAAAAAAAAAGAAGAACTTTCAGAACATGTTCTCTTCAACATCATTTTTCTAATTGTATTGGCCTCTTGAGCGATACCTAATCAGTTCAAGGTATTTTAGTTTGAGGCACTGTTACTTTCAACCGAAAATTTTTCCCAGGAAGTTTTTATTTCAAAGGGAAAAAAGTCTTGCAATAATTGAGCTAGGAAAAATTCCTCACTAATATAATTTTATTTCAAAATTTCAAGATGGTATCAATCAAGAAAACTTACCAGTCCAACTTTGAATTTACATCCAAAGAAAAGGTTGATTCAATAGGAGTCATGGCCTCCTCAGCAGTCTGTTAAAGATGAAATAAAAGATAAAAAGAAAACGGTAGCTTTTAAAGCAGACTGCGAAATGGATGCATAAAACATGATCTGTATGAGGGAATAGCATGTGGCATGACTCTCATGATTAAGCAAATAACAGAAAACTCTGAGAGAATGACAGCATATTATTTTGTGGAACACAAAACACCTGGACCTAAGAGAATCAATTTGACTCTGACATGCCTGATAAAGAGAAAAGGAGGGGTCAAGAAATTACAATAGAACATCATTTACCAAGTTCAGAGAATACCCTTACATGTTTCCTATGTACAATGAAAACTGGAAGTAAAAAAATGTACGAAATTTCAAGGCTCTGATGTACCGACTGGCATACCATGCACATTGTATTGCATTGAGATGTTACACAAAATAAAGTTTAAAAAAAGAAGAAGAAGAAGAGCAGGCAATATAAATTGAAATCCGCACCTTCTCAGTCAAATCAAGAGCTCCACTGATAATTGTAGTCTCATCATGGGTAAGTTCACCCCCCTTCCCAGCCTAAAAAAGTAATTTAATATATATAGATATAGATACATAGTTAAAGTGCTATTTATTAAAAAACCAAGACTTAAACAGAGATAACTGGGTAGCTTCAGCAAACTTGAAATAACTGGCTCTACCATCGAGGTACTACGACTTGATTGACAGAGGTAGCATTCCTTACCTCCTGGCTGTGGATGGAGACAAGAGCTTTTAACTGAGCACGCCTAAATAAAGCCTCATTATGTCCCAATACCCAATCCAGAACCTGGAAAGAATGTCCAAGAGGAATAATTGCATAGCCTTGTTACAAATAAAATTCAATGCTCCATGACAGAAAAGAAGAGGAGCTCTACCATGGGGTTGAAAAAAATACTCCTTCCAGCCCTCAATATAAGAGGTAAATAACTAATTTGTGAATATTAAAAAAATTAGTTAAGTTAAATATCCGTAATTAATGTGTGTTGATTTTTCTAAAAGACTCTTTCTAACCATATGTATTGTAGCTATCCCTTAATAAAACTCTCTTACTATGCACAATCAATAGAGATACTTTGGGGAAGAAATTATAAATTTGAAAGACAAAGTGAATTGGAGTCTTATATTTATGACCAAAGTATACCCTTTATCTAGCTCTTATATTTAAGCCCGGAGATAGTATAACTGTAAGGAGGCTCCTCTATATACAGAGCAAGCATCATTAAGGCAGGAGCAAACTTCAGCCAGTAAAATCAATTGCCAATGCCATTTAACATATTTATGACAGCATCATAACTAAAGCAATTGGTAAGCCGGCCTAACATTAGCATTGGGAAGAATAATCTGTTTCAGGAGAGACAAAATGATAGTGACCTAAATTTTAGCCAAAAATGGCACCTGTAATATTCTCGATTTGTTTAGACGCTAATTAGTTTGATACAAGAGTTATAATAAAACAACCTATAAAAGACCTCAATCTGTGTGTGTGTGAGTGTAATACATCTAGTAACATGTTTGGGTACTTATGCTTCATGCTTTCATGAAGACATCCCACTAAATTCTACCATTTTCACTTTACAATTACAATAATCTGGTTACATACAAAAGAAAGGAAAGAGATACATATTCTTTTTACATGATTAGACTACATTAAAAGTTCATATACAAGGGAGACGTGAAAATTAGCCACTGTAAGTCACCTTTCCAATGGGATATGCTATTGGATAACAGACTATCATTAAAATCCGCACGAGCCATACAAAGTTGGCACCAACAGCAAGACCATACCTAGTACAAATTGCTTGTGGAATAACCTGAAATTGTAGAGGGAGAAGGAACAGAATAAGATCATGACATTCACTGGGCAAAGAAAGCAAAAGGTAAACCATTGAACAGGAAAGATAGACAAATACATACCTCCCCAAAAGCTAGAACAAAAGTCACCGAGAGAATGATAGCTACATACTGATTGAATAGTTTATCAAGGTATATTGGAAGGGCCTGCAGATGGGAAGATTCAAAGCCAAACGCTGTATAGAAGTTAGGCAGTATTTATGGATCAGTATGAAGATTACTCACAGTCGATATCAAGCAAAAACGCACATATTAAACAAACATAAAAACAAATATGATGTGTTCGTGACCATTCTCAACATTATAGTGACAGTCCAATGGGATATACTAAAGCATTCCTTTTTAAAATGAATTACTCGTATATTATACACCGCAAAAAAGTTACCTTACTAGAAGTGCTTTATAAAAATACTTAACAATATCTTGATGATGCTTTGGTGCAGAAACATAGTAAGACTGATACCAATATTCGGACTTCTAACCTCAAAAACAAACTACGCGACCTTAACCGTGAAAGGTCACCCCGGAAAAAAAAAAAAAAACACGAGTATGACCACACTGACAAAGTAAATTATATGAATGAGCATAGCAACTGAATGACCTCCATTGAAGCAGCATTACAGAGAAGCAGAGTTACTAGCAGCTGGTGTTGCTTTTGAACCACAGGAAGTATTGCCGCTGAATACACCCCCAAAAACAGATCGTTAGCCGTCTTCTTAAACAAGAAAATTAGAACGAAAAACAAAGTGAACTTTCCAAATTCGGTTATACTTAAAGTTCAAAGAAACTTTGAGTGCTCACCTTTTCAGTTAAAGAAAAAGCGTAGTCGAATCTCAAAGCAAAATGCGAATATTAAAAAGGGGAATAAACGAACCAGCTTGCTTTTTCTCGGTTGGAGTACCGCTGCGCTGAAGAATCTCGAGGTCGACGAGGCCGAGAGACATGAGCCCAAGGGTTAAACCGGACATGATTCCAGCAAAGAGGACGAGGAAACAGGAGATCCCGGCATAGATAAACCACCAGAGTGACCCAAAGGGAATGCCACCACCGATGACCTCCTCTTCTAGGCCAGGGTTGCGAGTAAGCATCCGACCCACCATCACCGCATTCAGCAGATGCATCGTGATCGTGGCTGGATTCCCAGAGATTCTTCTTCTTCTTCTTGTTCGTTTCCCGATTCTCGTCTGGAAGCGAAGTATGGAGTTTTGTTGGCGTTTGACTGCACACTGCTTAAGCAAGTGAAGACGCTGAACACGTGTCAGAATCCTAACGAGATGATTTGTCGCGTGCGTGGAGCCCGCTGTTACGTGTCGTGTATTGACGGTCTATAGGGTCCACGTCATTTCGTAATGCGTCCAGATTGGTCCAACTGGGTGAACATGGAGGACGTGAAATCCTGAACGACCATGAGCAATCCGCCAAGTTGACTAATTTATGCATTTGTATTTGCACATTTATACGGCAAAGTACATGATAAAGCCCAATGGGTCTTTTTAGCGGACCTGGGTCCTGGCCCATTACTTTTCTAATTCCTTTCAGGTAAGAAGAGAGCGCATGCATTGGTTTGCATTTGAATTTGATCCAAAATAAACGGTCACTTCATTCAATAGCCCAATTGAGTATATTCTTTTCTTTTTTTTTGCCAACAGCCCAATTGAGTATATTCAGTCAACACTGGCACCAACAAAGATGCATCAAGCAAATGAATATTGGAGAACTGACTCGAGTTGCTTTGGGTAGACACTTTCAATGCATTTGATGTGAGAAATTTTAAGAGATGTTTTCTCCTCCAGCAACCGTTCTATCCTGTAGAACTTTATTACAATAGGTCTGGTTATTTTATTGGTTGGGATTCTTTTCAACTATTACAATATGTCCTTGATATAAGAGCTACTTTACTAATTTGAATACACTAAGAAAATTAGTCAAGTTAGATATTAATAATAAATAAGTATTGTCTTCTATAAAATACCCTACTAATCATGTATATTAGTTAAAATTACTATTGATGAAACTTTTAACATGTGCAACTACTATAAGGATAATCTTTAAAAAAAATAGATAAATATGAGAAACAAAGTAGATTGAGTCTTATATTTATAACCAAATTAAATGTCAAACTAGATTTTATAGTAAGAATCAGATGTAATATTTTGGAAAGAGTCAATTTTAAGATCTAATTAAGAAATTGAATTTAATTCTAAATATAAAACTTCAGTTCACCTTATCTTTCACATTTATTTTTTTTTTAAATACCCTCATTGATTGTAAGGGGTCTCCTCAAGAGATGGTTCTAATACATATAACTGAAGAGGATAATTTAGACAAACCAACACACATTTGTTAAGAAAAACTAACTAAATTAATTTTCTTAATATTCATAAATAATATGGATAGAAAATAATACTCTTTCTCTCCTCAATATAAGACCTACTTTGTAATCCAACTTCCACTGCAGAATGGGCGGAGGGAGTATTAAGGACAATCACGTTATTAACCACGTTGTGACATTTACATGTGTTTTTGACATGGTTTGATTATTGCTCTGGCAGTGAGCTGATGAAGTCCCATTCCTTCATTATCTCTTTCACATAAGCTTGGAGAGCGTAGCTGTGTTTTTTATTTGCTATATATCATTGTTGGGATGCAGATCATCTATTTTATCAAAACAGAAAATAATGATTTTTTTTCTCTTTGGCCAATCTCAGGCCAATACTCAATCAAATGGATACGTACGTAAGTGATGATGAAATTATACACACAAAACGTTACTTGAACCGCATGATGACAAATAGTTATCGATTTAGTTGACTGACAAAGATATTAACTAAATCTTTCTGCTGAATCGGATCTCGTAGAAGCTACTAAGTTGCGTTTTGTAAGAGAACAGGTTTGAAGCCTTCACTTCTGCATAATATCTCGATCTGTGATAAAGAAACAAGAACTAAACCTCAGGCAACTAATTAGCAAGAGTTGAAGAAAATGATTTGCATACGTTATTACCACGTTTTGATATTTTTAATTATTTATGTAGATGCAAATCTAACACAGTTCCCCAAATGGAGATTCGATGAATATCTCTAATATGAAGATATGTACCTGCAAAACTGCCACAAAGATCACATCGCAGGACACCCAATCTTCAAAATCTAAGTGTAAGATACACAGAGGCAATAATAGATTAAATCTAATCTCCCAGATCAAACATGACATATGTATTTTTATCTATAACCAAAGGAGCTGACGTAACAGATACAGGGTATACATAAATCCTAAACAAACTCTTCCTATACAATAAGCAAGGTCGTATAAAATAGGGCTTTCTCAAACAAGATTCCATTATTAATTTATGTGTCCAACCGCCAAAACCGTGTACATGTCTCATGGAAAATAATATATATAATGGCTAAGGTTACGCGTTTCTTAGTTGTGAATCAGTTAATGTGGTCTGAATACGGCATAATATATTACCCACTCCTCATCACAAAGACAACACATATGCGAAAATGCCGCAACAATACAAAGTGAAAGGCCAAATTCAAAACAAATCAAAGTGATGACCGATGACATAGTTTCCCAGAAGCTACGTTATTAATTTCAAGGGGAGATAGATCGAATTGAATGAGAAGAAGAAGACAAAGACAAAGACATTGATGAGAAGCTGATAAGAAATGGCTAAAAGTGGTGGGTCAGCGAATTAATAATGGGAATGGAGAGCATAATTAAATTTGTATTCGAGTGCAAATTAAAGCGAGCGAGCAAGTGCATGGAATTGAACATCATATTCATTGGCAGTTCTTGTGATGGATATATATGATTTGACTGAGCCACCCCCACGCATGCAATAACTTTTTGTCTGATGATTATATACATCTGATATTAATTATTGGTGGGGGATCAGACCAGAGACGACAAACTTTATGTACTGTCAAAGAAGTGTTACTATATTTGCACCGTCGTCTCTTCGGACAATATGCAGCTTCGTTGCTTGTACTGGGGGGAATAATCACAGCTCACAAAAGAAGCCTATGCTCCACGTCTCTCCTATGGAATAAACATTGATATTTTATCACTACATATAATTTTATGACTGTACATATATTCATGATAGTTAGTTGTACATTTTATTTTATGGAATAATAAAACTTTCGTCCCTAAACTTTAATTTTCATCAACCAGATCCCTAAGAGTTATTTTTTTCTGAAATCTGTCATAAGAGAGTCTAACAAGGTATTTGCTAAGGAGTAAAGGTAATTAAGGTTTAGTGTCGTGATCATTAACTATTGCTTAGTATGCAGAATGGAATGAAACGGAAAAAAGTAAGGACGACATTGCAAATTAAAAAAACACAACAACAAAAAAACAGTAGATATTGCACAGAATTTATCTGATTTCAATTCCTTCTCCACTAGCAGGCCAAATGTCGCTTAATTTCTTCTATTTGCATGATTGTATATCATTCACGTACCTCATGCACAGAGTATTGTACTTTAAGAAATATTTACCTTTTAATGCATATTCTAAATGTCACGTGACAATGTTGTATTAATTATATTTTCATATGGATTTATACTTTACATTAAGGGGGTGTTTGCGATTATGCAAAACAAGATAAACTCCTTTACATATTTACTTCGTATATCGTAAAAGCACTTTTAAAATTACGGTTTGATTTCCATTTAAACACCTCCTAAATCAGAAAATACTTTTTATAGTACATATGAGATACTACCTCCAATTCTTAATATAAGAACTAATTTAACTTTTAATTTGGTTTTAAATATGATACTCTAATTCACTTTGTTTCTTTTATCTATCTATTTTTCTCAAAATACTTATTGTAGTAGTTGTACATATCAAATGTTTTATCAAATGACACTTGATTAACAAGGATATTTTGGGAAAGACAGCACCTATTTATTACAAATAACCAACTTAACTATTTTTTTAATCTACTTAAATTAGTCAATTAACACTTATATTAAGAATCAGAGGTAGTAGTAGCTAAATGTTTGTGAATTATCCATCTATAATATGAAATTTATAGTAAACGACACTATATATTCACAATGAATATGTAATCCACTTTACTTCAAGTTCTGTGCAAAGCACGGGTTTACAGTTCAATCAATAATATCAAATTTGGCTATATATGCTTTCTGAATGCCTTCATGTGATTTTCCTCTTGGAATATAGAACAAACCAGTCAAAAGAAAGAGTAATAAGCAAACCGAACAACGAACAGAAGCGACTCAAGGATAGTCCCTGGTCGTATCTTTGAGCAGGTTCATGTATTCGATGCGTGTACGTACATTAACATTTTGAGTTGAAGTGATTTTGCCCAAATCAATAATCTCAAGCTGTTACTACCTCTCATTTTTAATATGAAAGTTAGTTGGGGAGTAGACCTGAATGTAAAACATCAAGAGCCATAATTAAAAAGATATAATAAGAAAATTAACTCATACTTTTAATAAATAACAAATTTAACTAACTTTTTTAATTTATATATCTAAATTAGTTAAGTAGCTTTTATATGAAGGACCTTGTTTGTTAATATAATTAAGTGAATTATGTGCTATAATTATGATATATGAAAAACTCTACATGTCAAGAACGTAATTTCCTCTAAAACACGCCCAGATCTTAATGTAAGGAAAAACTCATTAGTAGTGAATCATGCTTGGGAATTTAAGCAGAAATACATCAAGGTTTTAATAAAGGTATTGGCACTTGGAAAAGACAACATAACAAGGGTCATGCCAAACACTTGAACGTGAGTTTGACTGAAGAAATTAGAGGTTACCTTATTATTGCTAAGTTGAATATTATATCGGATCATGATGCGTTCTACGAGACTATATGACAAATGTGTTAATTGACTGGTCAAAGAAGCTGAGCATTATATTCTCTGGGTTTTATTGATATAAAGCCAAGCTTTTTCGTACGTAGATTTTCTTATATGATTTACAAAAGTTGGAGAGACTAGGGTTTGGAAATGCAATAACGATGAGGTGGTGTAATAGGACGAAAATGTCGCAATAACAGTATGAAGCAAGAATCGATTCTCCGTGATGAACGTAGAACAATTGTCCTTGTGTGAACATCCAATTCGGTGAGCAGTCCCAGTGCAATGATAACTACATATAAAGACAGTGACTGATACTAAAGACTCGTTGATCTTTATACTGTCCTTTTGTATATAGAGCGCGAGAGAAAGTAAGCTACAAATCCTTTGACCTTTATACTGTCTTCTCTTCTCTTTGTAACTTTGTTAGAATTGGAGAAAGCAATTTGGTGATAATCATTATCGTTGCACATTTATACTGCCCTCCCAATCAAACTTGCTTTTTTATCACAAGGGAATGATGATAAAAAGGAAAAGATCAAAAGCTGGACAGAAGCTATGGCTGAAAAAGAGTTTCATGTTATTATTGCATGGCAATTCTTTCGTTTTCGTCCGTTGTGTTGGTTGCCGTTTTGTCCTATTTCGTATTCCTAACCGACAAAGATTTAATGAATCTATGCATATTTTGTTATTCTCATTCACAATTTTTTTCTGCCAAAATATTCTCATTCGCAATTAAAGTGTCATCGATCAGCCTGGGGAGTTTGATCTGTCTTTTCTGGTAATGCGCCATGCATACACACACCATAGATAATATATATATATATATATATATCGGAGATATATAGAACTGGTCACATATGTATGATTAGTGTTTTAGTTCAAGTTTATTCTGTTATTATATCGGCCACATAATTAATGGAGAGAGAAAGATCAGTCACGTACTTAAAAATCTTAATTAATATGGATGACAGCGCGAGAATACCCAATAATTAGAAGCATATAAAAGCTGTAGGGCAAAAAAAAAAAAAATGTGTATCTTTTCACCTTTCTTTCCCATCAAGCATCTTGCAATGCGTGAAGCTAGCCCCTGATCTCTTCTGTAAATGTATTGAAGGCTTGTTCCCTTTAATTATTTTTAATATTTTTAAAGGAATATATAAGTCGATTGATACATTTGAGTGGCATAATGTTTATCTTTATACTTTAAACAGAGGAGATTAAAAGGGGAGGGGGGATAAGTACGTGGTTTAACAAAGCTGAGGGGGATATTGAGCGATTTTTAAAACGCTTTAGCTCATTGTACAGACCCCTAGTGATCACTTGCAGCAAACCCCATTGGTCTGACATTGACACACATAGATATATACTATGTTAGATGCAATTCTCACATACAATATTTCATAAATATCATGCAAAAGGAGCCTACACAGGGTAATTAAACTCGCAACTGTGTTATATTTTATTAATTACTAGTAGTGATGTAACTGTGAATCATTTTCACACATAGATTTAATAATTATGGTTATATTATATAGAGAAACTTGCGTACTTTGAGTTATATATTATATCAAGCGGTGACGATTTTACAGGAACGATAAGAACAGAAACTAGATACTTTTATATGATAGCATTACTATATAGTAACTATAAAGGCAGCTTTTGGCAAAAAAATATTCCATTTACGTTGATGTGGACCAAGATGCTCGATCGAGAGCGAAGGGAAGCATTGAGGAAAAAATCGTCATTTCTCCTTTTTATCTTTTTCCCTTTTTATGTGAGATGCAAAGCCAAGAGACTATGCCCCCACTCTTTACTAAAGTTGATTTTGACCATACAGGCATTTTTTTTTTGAAATTTTGTTTCACCTATTATGTATATATGTCCCCTTCTTCAATCTTTGGCCACGGCTTTGGATCATTAAGGATTTCAATTCCCTCATAATATAGAAAGAAGGACTCGATTTTCCTGATGTAACATATAATTTTAAGGTAAAAGAGTTATGCATAATATAATAATGTTAGTGTAGGAAGGGGTGTTGTTCGGTGGCACTAGAAGTGCTTCTGAAAAGCATTTTTTCGCAAATCGAGATAAACTTCTCCACATATTTATTTTGTATACTGTAAAAACACTTTTAAAATTATAATTTTAATTCCATCCAAACACCCCATGAGACAAGCTGAATTCTGATTATCAATCAGTAATATATACATATATATAATATCATATGTGTTGAGATATGTTATAGAAGTAGCAAAACAAGGGGGGGTTATTAATAATAATTAAGGTGATGAAGTAATTAGATGTAATATTGTGATTAGTGTAAAGAGTGGGGCCGTTGAAATGGGGCGGTGAGTGGGGGTATAAAGGCAAATTTGTGTTGTATATTTGATTGGAATCATGTGAGAGATCAGATGATGAAGAGGAAGAGGTTTATTTGGGCCCATCAATTTTTTAATAAACCTTCTGCCCTACTTTTTTGTGTCTTTTAATCTTTTTCAATATTCCCCACAAACAAACGGGAATCAGAATATCTCGGGTAATTCCAATTCCTCCCCTTCTTACCCCCCTCAGCTTCTCTCTTCCATCTCATCGCCTTCACATCCCCCTTTCCAATTCATTTTAATTTCCATCGATCATATCACTTGGAATTGATTGTACCCATCTAGCTAGCGAAGTGTGGCTATACACTTACCTCTTTTATGCACACAAATCATGTTCAATCAACACGGCACCATGTTCCTGAAATGGACACCCACATTAATTAGTGATCATCATCGATCATTAATACCATTATTATTATTCCCTTGTTAGCTATTAGCTACATGTTTTTAGTGGACTACATGTTACTTCCTTACATATGTATTATAAATTGTGAGGTACACCTCATTCATTCGACCAACAAACATGCTTTTAGTATAGAAATTGAACGCCCCAGCAAACCACAAAAAAAAGGAAAAGGGAACTTCACCAATTTGCTTGTGCATGTACATACAGTCTCACTTACATAGCTACATGTGTGAGCAACTAGACTTATAATTAAATAATTAGTTAGTTAATTAATCATGGGAATGCAAAAAAGGTGAATAATTGAGGTGGCATTTCATCACATACAACTATCATTATTTTTAGAGGATAAGAGGATGGCCCGCACTAGGGATCGGGGCCATGGCCATGCATCGCACATCTACCGTATAATTAAACAATATGTGTATATATATCACTGCTAATTAACTTATTGGACGGGAAAAAAACTTACTGCTGGACTTTTACGTTCTTTCTTCTTCTTTTTTTGGTGGAATCCATGAATGGAAGTTCTTTTTTGTTTGGCCAAAACCATAAAAGGAATATTTACAGTACGTACGCACATCGAACGCGTTGCTATTAGGCACAGTTTAATAAATACTATTAATAAGCATATTAATGATCAATTAATCCCTTGAATTTCTATCCTGTGAAAATAAAAAAATTAATTACTTACTTATGGGTTTTGACAAGTCTGTTGTGAGTGCATATTCTTGTGCAAACAGGCCACCTTCCCCATCCCATCGAGAACCGATTCTTTCGTTTTGCAGGCAATCAATGAATACTACTTTTGGTATAGAAGTCAGAGAAGGGGGATTACCGCATGAAAGGGAAAAAAAAAAAAAGGGTTAAATTTAAAGTTTAGCACGCAACTAAACAACTTAGTTTAATTTCAAATAAAATTAATTAAAATTTAAAGGGACTAAAGAGAAGTGAGTAGTGGAATTCACTGATTCTGACTTTTTACTTATTGAAGTGGGTTTATGGAGTATCGATCTTCTTCACCATAATGTTTTTATATTTCGAAGATTCAAATTCGTTTCTATAAAGACTTTGGAACACTAGCAAACAGCCCTTTGGGCAGGGGATCTCCATTATTGCTCCTTATCCGTACGGACGTCAAATGTAACCAGAGTTAGCGACCTTATTTTCTTTGTCCCTAGTGATTCCACAGTAAAATTCCAAAGAAAAGACACTGGGACAAAAAAAGGCAGAAACAACATTTAAAATAATTTTAAGTATCGATTTAGACAATTACAAATTAAGGGTTACGTTGAAAACTTAAGGCAAAGCATACTTTAAGTTTCATTTTGATCATTTAACTTTTAAAAAAAATATCTTTATTTTTAATCTCATAACCCTCAAACATTAAAAATAAATGATGACACTGAGATCATGAATGTTAATAAAATATTTTCAAATACTCGCATATTAAGTTTAGTTTTCAAAATAATCATGCTTGTTACCCAAAAAAAAACATTATTGGCTAATAATTTTAGAGTTAAAACATTAAATATACACTTTTTAAAGTTAAATCTTATATAAAGTTAAAAGACGGCTTTTGCTAGAGTTTATATATCTTATTTGTGATTAAATTCCTGAATTCGTGTTTGCTTGAATTGATATCAGCAATTTATTTTTAAAAAAAATTGTTAAAAACGTGATCCTATCAATTAATTTATCATTTTTTGGGATCTGATTATTATTTTCTTTGCTTTGCTTTTCGGCAAATGCAAAGTAACAGTGACTACATATGCCGCGGTTCAATTATATATTTACTTTCACGCGACTGCATTCTAAGTTTGCTAAAGCACAGAATGATTCACATCATTCGCAGCTTATACATGCTTAAGTAAGGTGATTTTCTATAAGTTGCATATAGATATATGAACAAAGAGATTGGATTTTAGACCACTGAAGCCTGGTACGACAATATAATATACTTTTTACGAGGTGACTAGTAATCTTATAATGTTTAATATATTCTTATATATGCAAGATGATTGGAATCTGAAACGCAATTGGGGATTAAAAAAGCTATAAAAATAATACTCTTTTTTACATCAGCTGTCGATATCATTTTACAAAAGGTAAGAGGATTTTTACTATCACTGCCAAGAAAGAAAAGAAAGAAAACTAAATTCTGTGGTAGACATTTATATTCTATCCGCACCTCTAATGTACGAGAGAAAAAGTCACTAACAAAAGAAGAAATGCTAGCAACATCGAACAATGAACTTCTTGTGAAGTAGCCAGAGACGAGGAAGAAGGATTCTCCATGGCAACTCAACCCACTTGTCAGCCAAATTCTTTGGTCCCTTAAACGTCCCCGCCACGGTCATAACAGAACCTTGTCAGCTTCTGTTCTTCTGTGCCGGTGCATCAATGCGGAAGATAAATTTGTACCATAGAATCAATACAAAGGGAAATTAAATAGTCAAATACCTTATGCCCTTATACAGTATGTTTTATCGGAAGCGTCTCAATTGGTGACAGTTTCTAGACTCTCTGGCTTCCTCTGGCTCTAATGACTGGCGGTGGCCATTGCCACCTGCTTCGCCTGCGGATACAGCGGCACCGACGACATTGCTGAGGCGGGCGGAACCATTGGACCGTCGTTGTGGAGGAACTTGCGTACAATCCTCTGGCTCTTGGCTAGCACGTGAGTCTCCCATAGTTCCTCTGCGTCGTCGCCCGATTTTGTGAACACCTCGGTTGCGTCGAGGCGATACGCGTTTCGCTTCCACATGTTGTAAAGTCGATGAATTTTCTGAATCTGTCGCCGAGCCAGCGAACAATTGTTGGCTTTAATCTTGGCAATGGCAGCCTCTAGTAACCTCTTCTTGGTCCCTTCGTCGGCCGTAGCCTCTGTTCGAAGAAATTCATCAAATTCAGGTACTCCAATGGCTCTTCTGATTCCGGTGGTGTAATCCCCTGCCGGGTCGAAAAATTGACGGACCTCATCGACCTGACCCGCCTTGATCATCCGATCGACCCGCTTCGAGAGGAATGAATCGAGGACGGGCAGGGAGACGTCCACCCAGAGAAAGAAGCACTCGTACTTCAACCGAAACGCAGCGTCGTCCTCGATGAGGGCCTCAATATAGGAATTGGAGCCGCCGGCGATGATGGGAAGGCGATCTCTGCGGACGATGGAATCAATGGCGGAGGAGGCGTGGCGGGTGAAGTCAACAGCTGTGAAATTGGAGTTAGGATCGGCGATTCCGAGGAGGTGGTGCTGGACGCCGCGACATTCTTCTTCGGTGACCTTGTTGGTGGTGATGTCGAGTCCTCGGTAGACTTGCATTTTGTCGGAGTTGACGATCTCCGCCGGAGGGAAGGAGGTGGCGAGGTCGATGGCGAGCCTGGACTTGCCGGTGCCGGTAGCGCCCAGTATGACGACCGCCTTATCTTTCGGGGGATGGCGGAAGAAAGGCTCCATGGCTAGTGCCGTTTGGAAATTCACTAAGGGCGGCACTTGTTGGCAGACAGAAAGCGAGACGATGTTCATATTGAAGTCTAAAGAAAAGGAAAGGAGGGAAAGAAGGAACCTGCAGAGTTGACCAGACATATTTTAATCAGGACGCAAAAACCAGCTCATACAGGTATTAAACTAATAATATTGAAATCATGAGAATCCAGCAGAGAGGAAGAAGGGAAGATGATGAGTATATGTTAGAAACAGAGGAGAATATATAGACGCAAATCATGAGAGTTCTATGTTAGTTTCAATTCGGAAGTTAAAAACGGAGGAGAAGACAAGACAAGAGAAGTTGAGATGGACCCCAAGAGAGTTGTGCGTGATGTTAAGTAGGGTAACATATATAGAAGGTACGTACCTTGAATGAGAAAGATGCGGCGAGCTGATCACAGATGAGTAGAAGCAGTGGGCAGAACAGAGTAGAAGGAGATGGAGAGAGGAGAGGTTTGAAATGGAGGGAATTGAGAGGGAGTTTGTTGGTGTGTCAGATGGGTCGATGGGCAGACGAAGCAGAGCGCTGCTATTTATACAGGTGAAAAGCCTAGGAGTTCTTATGCCACGTGTGCAACCACATATGCAATATATATATGTGTGTGTGTGTGTATGAGCGCCTTTCCTTTGCAATTGCATGTTTGCGCGCCCCTCAGTTTCTCGTGAGAGACGTTTTATTATTCTGCAACTTCAGCTTTTGAACACTCATTTTCTACTAGTAGTAATTATATTAGTCAATTCTCTCGTGGATTCTAAGATGCATCTTCACAGTAGGATAAGTACCCTCCAAATAATAATATAATTAATACCTACCTTTATTTATCGTGTTCATATTGATTGCTGCTAATTAAACTGGTATAATGACTGTGATTAAGGTCTAATCAATCCATACTATTTTTTTGTTAAGGAGAATATTAGCGTCGACAATTTGAAGATTCTGATTTTAGTTTTCTCAATAATTATATTTGTTAAAACGAAAAAAAAAATCAAAAGCAAAGAGACGAGGCCTACTTATCACCACGTATGTGGCCAGTGTTTTGTTGTTGTTATTTATACAACTTTTGCCTGGTGAGGCTGGATAGGGCGATAGGGCGAGTGGGGAGTGGGGAGTGGGATTCTCCGGCGCCATAGTTTGTTTTTACTGCCCCATGTATGCTCTATGTACTGTGTTTATTTTGTATTTTATAAATCGCAATTAAGAAAACTATTTATTAGACATTCCAAACAGATATTTTAATTAAAAAAGGTGGAGGGTGAGCTTCAAATGAAAGAGGATGGAGGAATGGGGAATGGAATGGTATACGTCATCTGAGCTTGAAATTCAGTGATCATATGTACAAGAGAAGTGGATGGTTTGATAGAAGTGGCTACCGCGGGTGGCCACAAGGGTGCATCAATTAGAACAACATACAGGGTGCTTGGATGAGTGGAATTGGCGTTTGGATGTTTTAGGCGCGCCCACACACATGACGCAATCCAACGGCCAGAAATAGATCAGACCTCGACGCCTGTCAACGGTCCTTCCCCGTACAGGGGTACCAACAAACCGAATGGCCTGTTCACAGCTTCCTATAACACCTTCCTCCCGGCGTTCATCCCCCCTGGGCTCATCATTATGTTCCTTGCCTTCTTGTCACTTAACTGAATCTTCCGATGTTTTCACTTGTACTACAGTCTATGGAATAATTTCTCTGGTCAAATCAAATTGCTCTGTTGACATGCACGCATTTAATGTACGGATATAATGACACCTCAGGATCCCTCGCAAAGGTTAATATTATTATACGCAGAGTACCAGCATATACAGACCATCGTTTTTCAAGCGTTGGTAAGTGCAGCGACGTATTCTAAATTTTTAATAGGAGAATTTAACTGAAATGATTAAGGAAAAATAATAATAAAATACTTTCTGAATTTTAAAAATAACAAATAATACATTTGAATAAACAAAATAATAAAGAAAGTATCAGGTACCAATATCAAATTTTAATTTTGAATTTTACAAAACACATAATGGGATTTACAGCTTTCATAATGAGAGTTACTATTTCGTCATGGATTTTGCAATCTGTTTTGAAGGATTGAGCAAGTTTTTTGTTAAAAAAAAAAAATAACTCCACACCATATTTTACAAACATATAGTACGATTTATAACTTTCATAGTGAGATTTACTATTTGGCCAATGGGTTTTGCAAACTGTTTTAAGGAGTTGGTCAACTTTTCTATAAAAAACAACACAATTTCACGCTGAATTTAATAAAACACACGGTGAGATTTACAACTTTCATAGTGAGAGTTACTACCTTGTCAATGGGTTTTACAACATGTTTTGAGGCCAAAAATCAAAATTCCATATTGGTATCTGATGTCTTCTTTATCATTTTGTTTATTTGGATGCCTTATTTATCATTTTAAAATTCAGAAGGTATTTTATTGTCATTTTCCTAATGATTAAACACCCCCTTACCAAAAAAAAAAAGACAAGCGCACACTCTCCGCGTGTTTAATAATTTTGTGGGTACTGAAAAGTTTATATTTTCTCAATTTATCATTAACTAAAACTCCTCCAATTCTATTTATAAGTCATTTTTAATATATTTCACATAAATTTTAAAAAAACCCTAAATTTTATTAATTCTCACTTAAAATTCAACAACTTTCATACCTTATCCCTATTTAATATACATTATACCTCATCTAAACAAAGTTAATAGAATAATAAATGAAGGGTAAAATTATATATTCATATAAAAAATTTCTCTCAGTACCTTATAAATAGGAGAAAAAAATATTTTCTCTCACTGCCTTATAAATTGGACCAAAGGGGTACTGCTCTTGTTCTATTTATAAGTCACTTCTAGCATATTTCATACAAACTAAAAAAAACCTTAAACTTTATTAACTCTCATTTAAAATTCAACAATTTTTTAACTTTATTCATATTTAATATACATTATACTTTATATAAACAAAGTCAATACGATAATAAATTAAGGGTAAAATTATACATTAATACAAAAAATTTCTTTTAATGTCCTATAAATAGGAATAAAAGATATCTTCTCTTTCTGTCTTATAAATAGAAAGAGGAGTATTAACTATCATATCACGCGCGATTTAACGATACTGAGATAAAAAATTATTATTTATTTTTGGAAAAATTAAATTTGCAACTCTCTTGCAAAACCAGTACAAGTTTACATTATTCAGTAAATCCTCAATGGTTATGATTAATTGCTTTTTTTCAATCAAAGACAACGTTTCATTATTTAGCGGTAATACAAAGGTGGCATCGTCTTTTCATCATGCCTGCCATGGCTTTACAAGGTATCATCAACCATTTACGGTTTACTGACGTGTTATTGCGCTCTTAAGCTTAACTATAATAACGCGCAATTATATACCAAATAATTAACCGCATTAAATACATTATTTAAAAAAAATCCATTGATTGATTTTTGTTACACATATACAAAATTCCAAGTTCATCAATTAAATTCATGGGCAAAATATAACTCTGCAAATTTTCCATGTGTGACATTTTGTTGGTTGAATAAAATTGTTATTTTATATTAAAAAAAATATAAAACATATACTTCTGAATGCATAATTTATGCCCCGCCCGGCTTCCTCCTTCTTTAGTTGAAAAATACAGAAACCAGTATTATTCCCTTATGTGAAATACCATTAACAATTAATAGTTTTACTTCTCGTATTAAATGATGAACAGAAAATATCACCAGCATTGCAGGATTTAATTTACTGTCAGAGGATGTCAAGAAACGCGCCCGAAAAACCATTCAGAGTTTAGAAGAATGAGCGGCTGGCTGAACTGGCGAAGCGATTTACAAATTTAATTCAAATTTTCATGAAATGGAGAAAAATGAGTAATTAAGGAGATTAATATGGTGGGAGAGGTCAAAATCATGCAAACGCCTCCACGTGTCGCCTTGTGGGTTCAGTTATATCCGGTGGAGGCAATATGAGCAAAGAAATGATACTCTTCTTGTACTTAATATAAAAATTATTTAACTAATTTAATTAAATTAAAAAAAACTAGATAAGTTAGTTAATTATAAAAAACATGATATACTTTTTTAAAAAAACTATAATCATCTTTCTTAATATCCTCCCTCACTTTTCTACTTGATTATGACTGAAGAAATATTCATAAGGATAATTTAAAAAAATTGATAAATATAAAAAATAATTCTTATATTCAGGACTAAAATCAACTCAATAATTAGGTTGTATATTAAAGACCGAAAGAGTATTAATGAATAGGCACTCTTTAGAGCACCATCCCATGTTTCATTTATATAAATTAATGAAAATATGTTTAATTAAATGAATTAATTATTATTATTTATCTCATCTGCATTCTTTTTACACTTATATTAAACCATGTTTATTGAGTAATATGACATTACTGTGTATATATATATAATAGTTTCCTGCGTCAGCAGGGGTAGGAGAAGGTCGACTGATTACACAACTAGTTCGGTTTATTAGCTCTTCAAATTAAATTGAACCACAAATCAGTCAATGAGTTTCAATACAACAAAGGTTGGTCCACTGGACACCGACGCATTATTTTGCAGCAAACCCAAGTAAAGTGATGTCTCTTGCCCTCTTTCAAAGAAGCTAGCTACGGCCTACCCGAGTCAAGCAAAGCCTATAAAAAGCATACCCTCTTTAGGTAGTCAAAGCAATTATGGAATAAAGCACAGTGGATCCGCGGGCATCATAATCCTTATAATCATGATCTGCATAAATCAAGATAATTTTTCTCATATATTTATCTTATGTTTTGTAAATCACTATTAAAGATAAGCAATTCCAAATGAATCATCAAATCCCTGTTATAAGAGCTGATCACTAACTGTATTTTGATCATAGGATTATTTTTAATAAAGAATACCTATATGCAAGGGGGAAAAAAAAAGATGCATGGTGGTTATTGATAGTTTAAACAGTATAATTAATTTATTAATTGGGAAAATTAAAACAATTTAAATACTATTTTTAATTACATGTATTGAAAATTTGAAACTAAAAATATTTGAAATCTCTTTTAACATGTGTAATTATGTAATTATAAGAATGATTTAGAAAAAGTTATAAATTTATGAAACAAAGTGAATTGAGATATTATATTAATAAGAATTTTAAATTAACTCAAACATTTAGAACCAGAAAAATAAGCAGCCTAGTATAAAACTCAGGCTTTTATATCATACAAGCATAAATTAATTTATGCAGGACCTTAATTAATTAAAAACTGGAAGCACTTATCAACAACTTGTTGGTTGAAATGGTAAGTAGTCTCATTTCTATAAGAAGGAGAATTTAAGTTCAAATCTCAAAAAATACACTTGTTATAAGGATATTAACCTTACCACTGTCGACCCGATAAAGATTAATCCCAACAAGATACTCTGAGTTGCACTTAAAAAAAAAATGGAAGCACTTAGTTCTTTCGGTTGTGATTATGCAATAAA